CCCCATCGCATAGGTTGCCATTCATTTTACACGAGCCTCACTTCTTGCTGTCTTTGTTTTGTTTTGTTTTCCTCTTGGCAGGAGTTCAAAGAAGGACGCAGAGCCAGTCACACAGCCCCCCAGGTCCTCTTTAGCCACAGGGAGCCTCCTCTGGAGCTGAAAGACACGGATGCTGCTGTGGGCGACAACATCGGCTACATCACCTTCGGTGAGCGGCTCTAATGAGTTCACCCTGCAGGATGGCTAGATCTGAGCAGAGCCTTGGTTAGCGTTGGATGGTGGGCAGAAGCAGGCATGCCAACTTCAACTTGTCCCATGCCATTGCTGCCGCTGCAGGAGCATGTCATGAGGCCCTGCTTTCGTACGATAATCACTTCCTTTCTCTGTTTTTAAATCTCAAGGGGAAAAAGGGTAACCTCTGATGTCGAGAGCTGGGGTGGTGCCACGTCAGCATTGCTGAGCAGCTGCATGAGAATTCTCTGTCACTTGGCATTTCTTGGTTTTTGGTTTGTAAGCCCGAGCTCCAGCCATGATTCACTGTCCCACTTCTCCGCGGCAAGGACTCAAGCCTCTCCTCCGGTTGCTTTGGCCTCGTGAGCTGATCATTGGAGCTGACAGCCGGGGAGAACAGCTCACTCCCACTCGGCACCTAATGCCAGGGAAATGTCTCCCTTGGGGGAGCTGTGCTTAATTCACCTCAGTGCTCCAGGGGTGCATGTCTGTTGGATTGAGTGACTTGATGCTGTGTTTAATCTTTACTCTTTTGGGGTTTTATTCCATAGTTTTATCTTTGAGGTTGGGGTGCATCTTGCAGTTCATGGTGTGTCGCGGTGTAACTTGCAGCATTCTCTCTCTGGTCCGGGAAGTCGCGGTAAACTTCCCGTCACTTGCATCTCAGATTCTTTGAAATGCAGGTTTCTGCTGGCCAGGGCAGAGTGACACAGGAGCGCCACCCTTTCTTAGGAGGCCTTCCTTTTCAGTTCAGCAGAACCTCACAGGCTCGGGCGCGTGCTGTTAGTGAGACCAGTGAGCAGAGCAGTGCAGAGGTGCAGAGCATTCCAGAGGCCACAGGGGAGGAGGACTGCGCTGTGACGGCACGGGCCTGTGGGCAGCCCTGCTCGGCACCAGCCAGAGCACCAGCTGGCCTGCCAAGAAGCCCTGCGTCCTCCTTCCCTGGTGTGGGATACCCTCTGGAATCTGTTCTCTGTACTTCAGTGAGGACCCTGGCTCCTAGGGTAAACCGTGAGCGTCCCTGGTGGCTGGCAGACGGGGAAGACACTGTAGTACACGCACCACAGAATCTAGACCCAAAATGAACATGCGGCTCAGGCCTTTTCTCTCCCATGAGCCCCTCTGTGCTCATTGGTGCCTCCCCTGGTTGTGCTGCTTATCCCTTCTTGCGTCAAGCAAAAGCCCTGGACAGAGCCTGGGAGTACTGCAACAGGTAGATTGTGGCTAAGCAGGGAAACACTGCAGTTGACTTGCGGCTACTGTTTGGCCCCACCCTGACCCTGACGCCTTGTCTGTGTGTCACCCCTCCCCCCAGTGCTGTTCCCTCGCCACACCAACGCCAGTGCCCGAGATAACACCATCAACCTGATCCACACGTTCCGGGACTACCTGCACTACCACATCAAGTGCTCTAAGGTGAGGGGGCACCAGGGGCTTAGTTCCTGTGACCCAGGGCTTTGCCTGCCAGAGCAGAGAGCAGAAGTTGTCCTTGAAGTCAAGAATCTTAGCTACACAGTTCAGAACAGGGCTGGGCTTCAGTATCTGTTGTGTTTGCTCCCAGGCCTATATTCACACACGTATGCGGGCAAAAACGTCTGACTTCCTCAAGGTGCTGAACCGTGCGCGCCCAGATGCTGAGAAGAAAGAAATGAAAACAATCACGTGAGTCGGGCAGGACCACCTCCCCCTCCTGTGCTCACCAAGAAGTGAATAGTGGGTGTCAGAGGCCTGGTCCTGCTGGTGTCTGGGTGGTGGGTACCTGGAGGCTACGGCTCCCGGACAGACTGGAGATGGGAGAGTCAGGTTTTCACTATTGCTGGCCGGAATGGGTTTCCTTGTTTCCACTTCTTTTTGCGCTGTGAGAAAGTCAGCCAGGAAAACAACAGAGGCTTCATTTTTCTAGGAAAAGCTTGTCTTTAGGCCCGAGTGGAGAGATCAGTCTTGTCCTCGTGGTCTTCCTGGAGAAATGGAGGAAGTTGCTTTCGGTCCCTTAGTCAGTAGGCCTGGAACAGCAGCCCCTGAGTGTTCTTCCTGGCCTGCTGCTCAGCCGGAAGGTAATCAACACAGAGAGGAGGGGCGACGCGAGGAGCGCTGCCCAGGACAGGCAGAGCTGTAAACTGTGCGGCTGTATAAGCAGGGGGCCAGCATGGCCAGCGGCCCAGAGGGGTCAGTCTCTGGGAACAGGGCCATGTCGTGGTCTCCTCGTAGTGACATTCACAGCCCTGCTCTCCTTATCTACGGTAGTGGCACTTAAACCTCCTTGCTTTTGTGCCCGTGGAAGTTATTTTGCTTTTGTGATCAGCAAAGCACCCCTCACAGCCCAAGCCCTCTCTCCTGGCCCAGAAGCCTCTTCCACCAGGCTCGTTTCCACTGCCTTTCGAAAGGTGGAGAGAGGGCTCTGGCAGAGTACCTGAGCAGTAGGTCAGGGTTTTCAGCCCCAGAAACATGAGACGTTTGTGCCCAGCAGGTGGAGTCACCGTGACTTCTTTAGGCGAAGGCCTTTCTCCGTATTAGCTCTGTGCCCGCCCCGCAGAGCCTTGGGAACGGCAATCAGCCGGTAGATAGAGCCTCTGCCGAGGGAGCTGTCCACACGCCATGTGACACACGGCAGCTTCCTTCCTCCTCCGCAGCTTCTTGGCATCTCCTAACATGGCCAAAGCCGGGACCAGGGTGGGAGGCGAGGGGGTGCGCCCTGGGCCGCCTACTCCTGCTGCCCCTCCAGAACCTTCTCTCCAGCCTGGCATGTGTAGGTCCCCTTTCCCCGCCTGCTCCTACGGGAGTGCTTTTCTTGCTAGGCACCATTTTGGTGGCCTCGAGTAGAAGGCAGCCACTTTCATACTGATTCCAGGGCCTGGGAGAGCCTAGGCGGTGAACCAACAGCTCAGTATAGCCTGGGGGAAACTTGACCTGGGCAGCCTGTATAACCAGAGAGGAAAGAGGAGGAGGGAGGCAAACAGCGGCACCCACCCTGGAGGTCAGATCATGTTACTTACAGGGGATAGATGTCGGTCCCGGGCTAGACAAGCTAGGACTCCAACACCAGAACAAGAGGAGTCTGCAGGAGCATGGACCTGGTGAAACTGGGAGACCCAGGGCCCTGGAGCAGAAGCTAAGCCTAGGTCAGCACTCGTCAGCGCTCTGCCCACTGTGGAACCCTCGGAAGCTCTTCATCTGCGGGCAGCATAATCCAAGCGTTTCCTTTGGGGGCAAGGGAGACTTCCAGGGCAGGCAGAATGGCATGCCCTTATTTTTGCTCTGATTCCCCTCAGTTCTCAGCTCTCACTTCCAGGCGGCTTTAATAAGTACCCATAGCTACCAGTTACCAGCCTGGCTCTGGGAACCAGCTGGTCCTCCGTCGGAAATACGAGGTGCAATGGGATACAACTGCAGCCTAGAAAACCAGCAACTGTTCCCTGGGCCAGTGTGGCCAGTGTGGACAACAGAAGGCCGCTGACCTTTGTGTTGATTACGTATTGCAGAGAGAGCTGCTGTGTGTCTGCTGGCTCACTCAGGTGCCTACAACAGCCAGAGTTGGGCCAAGGCTAAGCCAGCAGCTGGAGCACAATCCAGGTCTCCTCCTGCCCAGGGTGACAAGAACCTAACTACCTGAGCCATCACTGCTGTCTCTCAGCGTCTGCTTTGTCAGAAAGCAGAAGTCAACCCAGGAATCAAACCAGGCAGTGTGCGGGACGTGAGCATCCCAACTGCTAGACTAAATGCCCCCTCCACCTGGAGCTTGTGAGGATTGCAGTGGTAGAAGGTTCAGGAACTGCTCTGTGGGGGCCCTAAAAGGTATAGGCTGCATAGGAGGAGCCCGAGCTGACTGGTAGATACTAGGAAGACGGTTGAACCCAGTCCAGTCGGAACTCAGGGACACCCACGCCATCCAGAATGGACATGCGGTTCTCCCGTCTTACTGATACAGTTCATTCCTTCTGGGAGACGGGGCCTGGTGCTCAGGGCATCTGGTCAGCAGGAAGAGGCCGTGAAGCTGGTCTGTGAAAGCCGGATCAGCCTCGCCTGTGGCCCCAGGGTCTCTGCCTAAGGCACCGAGCCCTTTCCACCTCCTGTTCGGTGTCATTGGGGTCCCATCCCTAGTGGAAGGAAAGGTCAGCCGGAAACCAGCCTTCACTCTTACTCTCCTTTTCAAGGGGGAAGACGTTTTCATCCCGCTAACTCTTGGGAACAGGAGGAGGAAGCGGCTGGCGACTGAAGGCTGGAACACTTGCTACTGGATAATCGTAGCTTTTAATGTTGCACCTCTTCAGGTTCTTAAGGGATTCTCTGTTTTGGTTCCATTTTGTACACGTTTGGAAAATAATCTGCAGAAACGAGCTGTGCTTGCAAGGACTTCATAGTTCCCAAGAATTAAAAAAAAAAAAAAGGAAAAAAAGAATTCCACTTGATCAACTTAATTCCTTTTCTTTTATCTTCCTTCCCTCACTCCCCTCCCTTCAACCCTCTTTTCCAAGCTCTTCCGCTTTGCAATATGTTACTGGTAATGAGTTGCAGGATAATGCAATCTTAACTTGTTTTCTCCTAAGTGTTTGAGTTCAAAACTCCTGTATCTAAAGAAATACGGTTGGGGTCATTAATAAAGAAAATCTTTCTATCTTATGTGAGAATTTGCTGGGTTTCTGGACTCTGAGTCCAAAAGAGAGGGGAGGAAAGACAAATAGACTGCGCTGCACTTGAACCTGCAAACCTGAGCTGGAGTTCAGGGTCAGGAGCTCATCAGGTCTAGAGCCTCACTGCCCTGCAGGAGAGAAGAACGAGCTAGCAAGCTGTAAACAGCCATTTGCTACCTGGACAGGCGGTGGTTGGCAAATTAAAGTGCTTTCCAGTACTTCCCAAAACGTGTCCCATTAGCATGGTTCTGTGGGATATTGAAGGGTATCAGGTGTGGATCTGACGCCAACAGACCGGCCAGTCTCCCTTTCTCACACAGCAGCTGCAAGCCCGGCCCTCCACAGAACTCTGGGAAAAGCAGCACCCTGCAGAGCGCTCTCGCCCGCGGGACTCTGGCCCCAGAAATCGAATTGGTTCAGAGAATTTGCTTGGTGGAAAAGAGGTAGCGCTGGGAGAATGTCAGGGGCGCCTGAAATGGTCTGAAAGCTGCCCTAACGTTTGTCCTTATTTGAAAGAGAAACATCAAATAGCGTCTGCCTTACTACTTTTTCGTTTTCGCCATCCAGGGCAGTGTGTTTCATGCTGGTCCAAGAACCAGTACTGCAGTGTGCATTCACTGGACTGCATCACAACCAGCGATTCCAATTGCTCAACTTTTGATCTTGAAGTAACCGTGGATTCACAGGTGGTCGTCAGAAAGACTGCAGAGACCCTGTGTAAACTTTCTTCCTGTGGGAGCACCTGTGTCACCACAGTGCACAGTCCCACTCCAGGGTTGCGACGCTGGCATCGTCCACCCACCTTTGTCCTTTGTGTGTGTGGTGGTTTCTGTGCGTTTTCGTAGATGAGAGCGCAGGACACCTATGAAGGGGTAGATGTTGGTTTGGAAACAAGTTTTAGTTCCATCAGCGCACCAGGACTGGATGGTAGAGATGTCTTTTTACTGTCACAGTCAGGAAGTTTGGAAGCCACAAGCTGTTCTGTCACCAGACTTTGGTTTACTTCATTGAAATGGACTCCCAGAAAGCCCAGGGTGTTGGTTTGCGGTTGGCCACGTGGGGTACCCATGCTCCCTTATGTCTGGTGGGAGAACCTAGCTAAGCCAGGTGTTGAGACAAAGAGCTGCCGTGTGTTTTCTGTCCCCTTGGGAGTTTGTGGGTAATTTTGACCAGAAGCAGTTTTTGCTTTTTTGGTAACATCAAAACGTAGCTGCTTGGGAAGTTGAAACACGCTGTACCCTCTTGAGCACAGAGGGGATCAGAGCTCTGCGAAGTACTGTTGCTGGCCAAACCAAGACTGCTTAGAAAGCAAAGGGCGGTATGCCCCGATGTATCTGACTCCAGACCACTGTCGGCGTTAGATCGGCTCGGGCATCAGCCGCCATCCACCCTCCCTCCTTCCTCACCTGCTGCCAGGACACACCTGCACGTAGCGTGGGCCAGCTCAGAGATCCTCACCCCTACCTTCAGTCGGGAGGTCACACACACTGAGGCATGTGAGCTGGTCTTACTGCTCGTTGGCTCCCCTGCGTTGAGGGCCCAACCAGGGGCCTGTCCAAGGATGGGTGGAAGCAGTAGAGGCAAGGAGTCAGAGACTTCCGCTGAAACCAGGTACCGCTACTGAAGAGCTGTGTGACCCCAGATGGCTTCATCCCACCCCTGATAGCCTCCTCTGTAGCTGAACACATAGCATCTACCCACAGGTTTCTCAGAGGAAACAAGTGCCTGTCACCCTAGGCATCTGTAGTGGCTAACGTGAGTCCCCTTAGCACATTCAAGGGATCAGAAGTGACTATGGGAGAGGCGAGGTCCAGAGTGAGCCAGGCCCCATTCTGTCTTGTGGGTTTCCAGGCCGCCCCCAAGATGCTTGGGATGGTGGTGGGTGGAGAGCTGCAGGTGTAGATGGAGGAGGAGCTGGACAAGCCAAGAGCTAGGCGCTGGGCAGGAAAGGCAGTAAGATTGCAACAGGAAGTGGAGGGGAGGGGGCAGGGAATTGAAACAAGGAAAAGGAAGCAGGCCCAGCTGCTGCCTTGGCCGCCTCCTGGGAGCCGGTGCAGTTGCCATTCTGCTTGCTCAGCCCTGAGTTGTCCTGACTCAGCCCGGGTCTACTCCAGGGTGATAGAGCGTTCACGCAGTGCTGCCCCCTTCCGGGGGTTGCCAGGAGCACTGCGCATCTTGTGGCTCAGTGTGTGACCCGGAGACCAACAGGAAGGACACAGTTCAGGATCCTGGCCACTGTCACAGGACTGTGCCGGGGAGGGGGGGCTCATCTCTTGCATTCCAGGGGAGCAGAGTGTTGTCCCCCCACTCAGGGAGCCAGCCAGGGTCTGGGAAGCCCCAGGCACACTGCCTGCACTGGCGCAGGATCATGGGCTCCCAGGCTGTGCATCGGGGCAGACACAGATTTCCAAGGGGGGACAGAAGTGGACAGAGGAGGTGGGGAGCCTTCTCTGCCAGAGCATAGACCAGTCACCCTGGCGCAGGGCCGGCTGGTGGGGCGTCTGAACACGCACCAGAGCCCCCCACGGGCAAAGGGGAGACGTCGGGATGAGTCAGGTCCAGTACCTGAGTGCGGAGCCCAGTGGAGTCAGACGAGCTGGAGAAGCGGCAGCAGGGCTGATGGAGGACAGAGCCCCGCTCCCCGGCTCCCACCCTCCTGAGCTGCCCCGCTGCTCGTGTCAGCCCGCACACAGTGTTTAGACAGAGCAGCAAAGAAGAAACGCAGACCTCCCGGATCCTGCCGGGAAGAGGCCTGTTTATTGCTGCAGGCCCCTATCCGAGGGGCCCATCCCCACTTGTGTCCAGACCCCAGACTGAGCTCTGCCCTCTGCCCCAGCAGACAGTGTGGGCCCGAGGCCGCGCGCTGGGTGTTGGCGTCCTCCCTGGGGGGTGGGTGCGAGGCCGGCAGTTTTCCTCTCCCTTCCTTTAACACCTGAGCCCCACCACCCACGTGGGAGACCTGGACGGAGAGGCCGTGGGCCCAGGGTCCCCAGAGTACAGAAGTCCTCTTGCCCTGTGTACTTGGGCTCTGCGGCCAGGAAGTGTCAGGTCTCACCTGCAGGTCCAGCCGCTTCCCTCCTGCTTCCAGCCTGAAGGTTGTGGGTAGCTGGGCCCCTCCCCTCATCCTAAAGCCGCGCTTGACAGAGGTGGGAACCAGGGCACCGTGCCTTGGGCTTCCATGCCGCAAACCTGCCTCTCACAGCCTGAACCCACTTCCCTCCCTGCAGAGCAGAAGTGTCGGTCTCCAGCACTGCTCCTAGGCTCCCTATGTGCCTTTCTCATCGCAGGGTTTGTTGGGGTTTTTTTCTTTGTTTTAATTATGTATTTGAAAGGCAGAGGGAGAGAGGGGGAGATCTCAATGGTCATGATGACTGGGGCTGGACCAGGCTGGATCCAGGACCCTGGAACTCCATCTGGGTCTCCCACGCAGGTGCAGGGGCCCATTCCACTCTTTCCCAGGTGTATTAGCAGGGAGCTGGAGCAGACGTGAAGCAGCCAGGGCACTGCCACATGGGATGCTGGCCTCACAGACAGCAGCTTAACCTGCTGCACCACCACACCGGCTCCTTTGTGGAGATTTTTGGATTTTTTTGAGGTTTTGTGTTTGTTTTAATGTTGAAAGGGCAAGAGACAGAAGTCTTCCATCCATTGGTTCACTCTCCAAATGCCTGCAATAACCAGGGCTGGGCCGGGCCAAAGTTAGGACCCTGGAGCTGCCTTTGGGCCTCCCAAACCCAAGCACTTGTGGCATAGTCTGCCGCCTCCCGGGTGCATTAACAGGAAGCTGGGTTGGAAGGGGAGTAGCTGGGACTTGAACCCAGGCCCTCTGATATGGGGTGCAGACGTCTCAAGCAGCAGCTTAGCCCACTGTGCCAGAAGTCCTCAGAGGCGTTCTGAAGTGCAGGGCACAGGTGCAGACAAGAGCGGAAATGCTAATGTTAATAGCTCACCGAGTGTTTGTGGGCCACATTCTGATCACACATCTCGTTAAATCTCACAATAGTTGAATACAGTTGTGAGCCCCATTTTATAGATCAGGAAACAGACAAGAAAACTAGTCATTTGCCCAAGTCACATGGTTTAAAAAACAGGATCCCAGCTAACTGATGGCAGTGCTGGCTCGTGGGCCCTAACCGCCATGGACGAGGCACTTGCTGACCAAGTGCCAAGCACCAGGTGTGTGCTGTTCTGTATGCGAGCCAAGGTGCTTCCCACAGCCATCCTGAGAGATGGTCTGACACCCATTTTACAGGGCCAGGTGGCGGGAAGACTGAGGCCCAGCAGTGGATTGCTTAAAGCCACATCCCCAGAGCCATTTGTACCTCACAGCCCAGAACTTGACCTCAGAAAGTAGTTGAGAAAAGTGTGGAGGGACCTCCAATTTGGGGAAGTAAGGCTTGCCCCATAGGCTTTCCCCCACCACGGGGTGAGATGAAGGGCGGATGCTAAGGCCCCAACACACCCCCTGCCCTCCACTGCCGCCATCACTGACCAGCATCCAGGGTGCCACACACTCCCCTCAGCAGGTGGCAGGAGCACAGAGCTGATGTGCTGTCAGCGGGCCACTCCAGGGGCTTAAGGCTCATAAATGTAAATATATTAGCTAAGGCTGGAAACAGGAGGAGCAGACCAGATCATTATGCATGAACTAACGCCTGTCTCACTAAAGCTGGGCAACAGCAGGCGACAGGGCTCCAAGCTGGGGCAACCCACCGTACAGGGACCACCACCTGGTTGGCACCATGTGACCAGTGCTGGGGAAGGGGGGGCCCAGCACAAGGAGGGGCCACTGGGGCGAGGGAAGAGGCCTCCCAGTTGCAGCAACTCGGGATGTGCGAGGTCCCACCCCCCCAGGGGCGGAGCCAGGGCTAAGCCCCACCAGCCTTAGCTCCTCCGCCCCTCTGGGAGCCGAGGCAGGCTGGCCTGGCCCCTGCCGTCCCCACAGAGCAGAGGCACCACACGCTGGCCAGCCAGGACACCAGACATGGTCTGAAGCCCTGCAGGGCCAGATGCAGTGACTCCCTGACACTGCGAGGAAGGCCCAGGCTGAGCGCGCACCACCTGTCCCCGACAGCCATGTGAGTAGTCACTCCCATCCCCAGACCCCTGGACCCACCCCCTGGACCACAGCTGTAGACCTCAACCCAGATCCTGTAGAAGCCCCTGCATGACCCAAGCCCGCAGGCCTTCAGGGTGGGCAGCTGGCGCTGACAACCCCCTCGGGGCAGCCACACCTGGAGTGGGAGAGCAACTGATCCCTGCCTTTCCTGCTGCCCGGGGGAGGTGGAGATGGAGGTGAGGTGTGGGGCCCCCGCTCTGGGGTAGGGCCGGGAGCTCCAGCTCAGCCCAGGTTTGGGGTGATGGCCCCTGGGCCTCACAGGGTTTAATAAAGTTGACGGTGCAGGGAGGAAGAGAAACAGAAACCCGGGGAGCCGCAGAAGGAAAGCTGTCCCACGCGAAGAATGCTGGGGGCGGCTGAAGAAGAGGAAACAGGCGAGGGCAGGGGAGGGCGCAGCAGCTCAGGGCCCTTGGAAGGAAAGGGCGCACCTCTGGGGGCCCGGGCCCTGCTGCTCTGACCTGAGGAGCAGCGGCGGAGCCGGGGGAGCCGGGATCCTTTCCCCGTGGACTTTAATCCCAGCAACAGCAGGTGCTCCCCTACTGACAGGAGCAGGAGATCCCACAGGACCCAGGACCCCCTCCCTCTGTTCCCAGAATGCGGTGGTGGCAACGGGAACGCAGAGGCGCCAGACCAGGGAGCCGAGGGAGAAGCAGGACAGGGACAGAGGGCAAGGACCACACGACAGAGGAGCCACCAGCTCCTCCCTCCCGTCCTCGGGGTTCAGGCACAGCCCCCAGAAGTGGGGGGGGGGTTCTCTCCGAGACACCAGCTGGCATCTCCACGCTCACCACCAAGCGTCCCCTCCCGCTGCCCTCCCTCTCCTCCCCAGCTCCCAGGAAAGGCTGTTGCTGGTGGGGCACAGCCGAGTCGAGTTTATGGGCTGGAAGTCCGACCTGGAAGCCTGCTCACTGAGCTGTGACCAGCTTTACAAGGGTGGATGGGGGAGGGGTGCAGGGGACAGGACACCCCACTGTGCCCCACACCTGGCCCAGGGGAGAGGCTCTCTTGACGGCTGGCTGGATCGCTCCACCCCAGCCGGCCCTGTCCTCTCTCAGCTCTCATGGCAACTTTGCCACAGGGAGGCGGGGATGCGCATAGCGCTTTGGGGCTGGCCGGGCTGACCTTGTAGTCTAAACACCACTGTCCCAAGCAGAAACGGGCAAAGTTGGCCTGCTGGGGACCGGGGTGAGCTGCCCCCACCCAGAGACAGCCGCCACCGCTCAGCTTAGAGAATGTGTGCATGCTGCCAGACCCAGTTTTTCTAAAAGACCCAAAATAGGGTATTTGATGCACATTCCCTCTGGCCGCTGTTGAAAAAACATCTGTGTGTGTGGACCAGCACACGGGATAGGGCTACAGGGCATGGGCCAGCACCTTGGGCAATGCAGAGCCCACCAGGCCAGGGAGCTGCAGCCCCCGCCTAACTCTGGACGTGTCTCCATCCTTCACCCAGGCACGCCAGCCGCTGCTCCAGGCCTCTGCCATCCCAAGGCCTGAGATGACACCCAACAGCACCGGGGAGGTGCCTGGCCCCATCCCCAGGGGCGCCCTGGAGCTGTCACTGGCCCTGGCGAGCCTCATCATCGCAGCCAACCTGCTCCTGGCGCTGGGCATCGCCTGCGACCGCCGCCTTCGCAGCCCACCGGCCGGCTGCTTCTTCCTGAGCCTGTTGCTGGCCGGGCTGCTTACGGGGCTGGCACTGCCCACTCTGCCAGGGCTCTGGAGCCAGAGCCACCGGGGCTATTGGTCCTGCCTGCTCGTCTACTTGGCTCCCAACTTCTCCTTCCTCTCCCTGCTCGCCAACCTCCTGCTGGTGCACGGGGAGCGCTATGTGGCGGTGCTGCGGCCACTCCAGCCTCCGGGGAGCATCCGGCTGGCCCTGCTCCTCACCTGGACCGGCCCCCTGCTCTTTGCCAGCCTGCCGGCCCTGGGCTGGAACCACTGGGGCCCTGAGGCCAACTGCAGCTCCCAGACCGTCTTCCCAGCGCCCTACCTCTACCTCGAAGTCTACGGGCTCCTGCTGCCGGCCGTGGGGGCCGCGGCCCTTCTCTCGGCTCACGTGCTGCTGGCCGCCCACCGCCAGCTGCAGGACATCCGCCGGCTGGAGCGGGCCGTGTGCCGCGACGCGCCCTCCGCCCTGGCCCGGGCCCTTACCTGGAGGCAGGCGCGGGCGCAGGCTGGAGCCACGCTGCTCTTTGGGCTGTGCTGGGGGCCCTATGTGGCCACGCTGTTCCTGTCGGTCCTGGCCTATGAGCAGCGCCCACCTCTAGGGCCCGGAACTCTGCTGTCTCTCCTCTCCCTGGGCAGTGCCAGCGCGGCGGCCGTGCCCGTGGCCATGGGGCTGGGTGATCACCGCTACACAGCGCCCTGGAGGGCGGCCGCCCGGAGGTGGCTGCGGGGGCTGCGGGGAAGAGGCTCCCAGGCTAGCCCTGGCCCCAGCACTGCCTACCACACCAGCAGCCAAAGCAGCGTGGACGTGGACTTGAACTGAGGGGCCTCTGCCGCCTCCCACCAGAAGCACCAGCTTGGCCACCAAGCCCCTCGCTGCTAGTGCCCACTTCTCCGACGCCACCCGCCGGCTCTGCTGGCCATGACCTCATTCCCTGTGGCAGGGAGGGAGGGGCACGTGGCCGAGTCACGGAAAGAACCTGGAGACGAGCGCGCACCGAGGGAGATTCCCGCTCCGTGCACGCGGGAGCGGGTTCCAGGCCGCCTCACCCCGCCATGGCCTTTACCACTTCCTCCGCACGCCCCACCACCCCAAACTCCACAGACGCCGCCTCTGGGAAGTATATTTTATTTACATTTTTAAAATCTGTAGCTAGTATCTCTTCCTCCTTTCCACCCCCAGCCTCGGGGGGGGGAAAGAACGGGAACCTCCAACACCTCCCCCAACCCCCCGCATACAAACACGCACCCGTGCCTCACACCAGCAAACGCGTGAGAGAAAGAGGCCGCCCCCACACGCCCAGGGCCGCTGGGTCTGTGCCAGGCGAGGGGGTGCCCGGGGTGGGGTCTAGAGGGAAGGAGGGGACAGAGGGGCAGGCCAGCCCGAGGGGCCGGGAAGCAGTCCCAGGCCCTCGCCGCTGCCCTCCGCACCTGCCACCCCTGCTGGTGACACGAAGCCAGAAGCTGCAGCCGTTAGCGGTCAGGCCTCTGGACACAAAATACTTTCGCTTTGTGGTCTCCCGACGTGGTCACCACCAGGGAGGCATCTCTGTGGACAGAAAGCACGGGGCTGAAGGGGCTGGGGGACCCAGAGTCCGGCCTCAAGCCCCCATCCCGGGGCCTGGGTGGGCTCCTCCCGGTCCCCCCACACCTGGGGCTGCACTGACGCAGCCACACCTCCAGCAAGGGGCCCGGGGAGGAGAGGCCCAGGCGTGGGAGCCGCCTGTCTCAGCACCCCCCACACCCCGGCCCTGTGACTGACATGCGAGGGTGGGGAGGGCCCGGGCACCCATGGGGGTGGGGCTCGAACCGTCAGCCTTCCCAGCGCTGCTGTGCCCCAGGCTTCCCATCGGGAGCCCCTCCAACACCCCAAGGAGCGACCCCGCGTCCCCAGCGTGCTACAGCAGCTAGCACAGAGGCTGTGGCCCACGTCCACCTCTCTTACTTGCTGAGGGCGAAGTCCAGGATCTCAGCTGCGTGGCCCCGGTAATCGGTGAGCAGGCGGCCGGTCCGGGCGTCCCAGAGGCGCACGATGCCGTCCAGGCTGCAGGTGTACACCACGGCGGTGCCCGCCTCCCACAGCAGCTGCACGATACCCGACTGCCCCAAGGGTGCGGGTCAGCCGCAGACAAGGGCCCTGCAGGAGCCGGGGCTGGGGCAGAGGCACCCACGGGGAACCCAGCTCCAACTGCCCTACCTGGTGCTGACACTGGTGCCTGAGGGTCTGTGTGGACAGGTCATAGATGGCCAAGGTCCCGTCCAGGTAGCCAACCGCGGCCAGGGGCATCCTGGGCAAGAGAGGGCATCAGGAAGGCTCACGCCGGGCCATCAGCGCAGGCCCCGCCCCCAGTGCCTCTGTCCCCGTTCACACTCACACGCTGCAGAAGCCCAGGGACTCCACCGAGTTGGACTCGCTCTCCTCCCCCTCCCCCAGGCTGGGCTGAGAGGCCACGGTCTCAGGTCTGAAGACGCCCACCACCTGTCCGTGAGAGGAGAGGGTGAGCGAGGCCTGGGGGAGGGTGGAGGGGACGAGGCAGGGCCAAGAGCTCAGGGCGAAGGCTCCAGGCGCCCTCACCTTGCCAGTGGTGGCACTGACCAACTTGGCCTGGCAGTCCACAGAGCCGGTCAGGATCAGGCTGCCATCCTGATTGGTGGCCACACAGGTCAGAGGGCCCTGGTGACCCTCAGTCCCTAGGACGGAGCAGGGGAGGCGGGTCAGACTTCGTCCTGTGAGTCCCGCCCCCCGCTTCTCAGCGCCCTCCCAGCCACGGCCCAGGTAACACCCGCGGCCCCGCTGGTACCTTTCAGTACGTGGATGGGGCTGCCCTGCTTCAGGTCCCAGATCCTGATGGTGCCATCTTCATAGCCCACCACGGCTCTCTTCCCTGAAGGCCACGGGCACATACACAGCCGACCGCGGTGAGCCCAGATGGGGCAGGCCAGGGGGAGGGGAAGACAGTGAGGGTGCAGACCCCGCCCAGGGAGTCAGGGCAGGGAGGAGCTGCCGTCCGCCCTGGAGCCTCAGAGTGGGGAGGGGCACCACGCAGACCCCACCTCCACACAGGGGCAAGGGGACGCAGGCAGCGGCTCTCACCGTCGGGGAGGACTCGGCCGCAGGTGGCGGGGCAGTTGGGGCCCTGGAAGGTCTTGCAGTCCCCGCTGGGGACCTTCCACATCCAGGTGTTGCCGTCAGCCGTGCCCGCGAGGAGGACAGGGGCCCGGGGGTGCCACTCCATCCACTGGGCAGAGAGAGAGGGAGGGTCTGTGGCGAGGCCCCTCACCCCCTTCCACCTTGGACTCTGTCCCAGGAGCCCCACCCAAAGTGTCCCTGCTGCGGGGGGGGGGGGGGGGGGGTTGCCCGGTAACAGGCAGAGACATCCTTGCTGCACCTCGGGCCTGGCCGGCCCCCCAGCCTCTTGCCCCTCCCAAACCCCTCACCCCCCAGCAAATCCCACTCTGAGCGTCTCACCTCCAGGTCTCCTGCTTCAAAGGACCAGACCTCTTCCTTGGTGTCCACCTGCCACACTTTCAAGAGGCCACTCATGTCGCCTGTGGCCACGAGGGTAGAGTCATGGCTGAAACCAGCACAAGTCACCGAGTCTTTGTGGCCTGCAAGAGAGGAAAATGGGGGACCTCGTGCTGGGGGCACCGCACCCAGGTGCCTGGCCCCCGCCAAGGCTCAGCTAGAGGAGCAAGACAGGTGACCGAACTCACTGCTGCCCCAGGGCTCCCCAGGAGAAACGCTGCTGGCCCCCCACCCAACCAGCGGAGCATGGGCCTCCTCTGCCAGTGCAGCTCCTCAGGCCCCCGCACGGCCTCGGACACTGAGGGTCTCCCTGCTCTGTGCCCACTGCAGAGCCGGCGTAACACAAGAGGGCGCCAGCCCGGCCCCTCACCTGCGCACTCAAACAGCAGCTCCCCGTCGCTGAGCCGCCATACAAACGCCTTGTCGTCTTCGCCCCCCGTCACGGCCAACGTGTTGGTCTTGGGATCCAGGCTCACACAGAACACGGATGCTGTGCCGAGAATGAGTTCCAGGAGGAAGGGGACAGTGCTGTCACCTAGGGTCCTGTCCTTCAAAACCTCAGGAAACCCACCCTGTTCCCCGCCCCCCCAACACATCCTCCCTCCGGAAGTGACAGGTGCATCCAAGTTCTCGTCCAATCCGAGCATCAGCTTGTTAGGAAAGGTGCCCTGCCCTAGGTGCTGCTCCCCTCACCAGCCGGCCAGAGCGGGGGGCCGTGTGCCATGTGCAAGGTGGGACCCGTGCAGGGTTAGTTCTTAGCGTGGGAGGCCACCGGGCTGAGCACCAACAGAGCGGGGAAGCCATCATGTTTCTGGCTTCTTACTAAGAGCTGGCATTCCATGAGACGATATCAGGTAGCTCAAAAGCTAAGTTTTGGGGGATAAATGACTTCTAACTGACACTGACTATTTTTATTAGAGATAACTTCAATTTTTCTTTCCTTTTAATTACTCTGAGAGGCAGAGCGATAGAAGAGAACTCCCATCTCCTCAGATGGCCAAAATGGCCAGGGCTAGGCCAGCCGGAAGCCAGGAGCCAGGAACTCAGTCTGGGTCTCCCAGGTGGGAGGCAGGGACCCCACCGCTTGGGCCACCACCTGCTGCCTCCCGGGCTGCGCAGCAGAAGCTGGAGTGAGGAATGGAGCCAGGACTCAGCCCAGGCACTCGGATTCGGGACGTGGGTGCCCCAAGCAGCCTCTGAACCGTTAGGCCAACTGCCTTCTTTTTTTTTTTCTTTTAATGAAAACTCAGACCCAGAAAGATCAATAAAGGTAGTAAACTGGTTAAGCAGCAGCAGCAGGATTTAAACCGGGGAAGAGACACCTGTAAGGACCACGCACGTCCACTGGGCCATGACTCCAACCCACACCTGCGCGTCCCTGCCCACTTCCGTGTCCCCTAAGGTCTGACCCCGGCAGCCGCAAACACTCAAAAGCCCTCCTCGGGGGCTACCTGAGTGCAGCGCAAAGGTGACCTCGCTGTCGTCCGGGCCCTCCATGCTGCCGACCACCCCCTCCTGGGGCTCCAGCACCCAGCCCTCCTCGTTGCCCTCTTCCTCCTCTTCCTCCTCCTCAAAGTCCACATCTTCCATCTCCTGGGCCAGGTCATCTGCTTTGGGGAGAAGGGAAGAGGACGGGGAGGCCTGAGGCTGGGGCGGCTCGGGCGGCCCAGGGGTACGGCGGGGGTCACGGACTGCTGAGAAGCGCAGCGTGGAGGGGGCGTGCAGAACCGGGGGCGACGTCTGAGGACCAGGGGCTGGCCGGCGACCGAGTGGGAAAGCAACCCGAGGGCATGATGGGAAGGGGGTGTGTGAGGGGAAGGGCCAGGGGAGGCGTCAGGGAACCCCCACCCCGGCCAGGCCTGAGAACTAAGTCGGGGGGTGCGCGAGGAGGCAGGCAGCGGGATGTCGGCAGGAATGACCCGCAGGGCAGGGAGAGGAGTGGGGAAGCTGGGGTCGGAGGCCAGGGGTGAGCGCCTCCTGTCCCACGGCCTGCGGAGTGGCGGTTCTCACCAGGGTCCGGCGGACCAGGATCCAGTTCTACCACCTCGATAATCTCTTCATCACCATGGAAGCTTAGGGTCTCCAGCGGAGGGGTGTCAGCGGCAGCCCCGCTCTCCGATTCGGACTCCATGCGGAGCAAGCGGCCGATCCACTTCTCTGGGCCCAAACGCCTCCCAGAGTCAGCTCTGCGCGACGACGCGGAACTCGAGCCCCTCCTCCCGGGAGGAAGTAGGCGAAGGCAACGCCCCAGCAGGAAGAGCGACGGCCGCTCCACCAGTAGCGGCTGGAGTTGGCTGGCTGGCCCACCAATCATAGGGTAGGGTTGGGAGAAGGGGCCGGGGCGTGGCGGAGAAAACCCAAACTCCGCCCTCTCTGACTCCGCCCCCGACAGGAGGGAAACAAGCGAGCGTGCGCGCCCCCGGAGCCTCCTGGGAATAGTAGTTCTCCCTGGTTCGCTCCTCGAGCTTCTGGGATGTGTAGTTTCTGGTCTGTAGGCGAGACGGAAGGCGCGGGGGAGGCCCCTTACGCAAACTACAATTCCCGGCGGGGAGCGCGGTGAAGGGGGGGTGGGACTTGAACATGGCGGCGGTGGTAGCGGCTACGGCGCTGAAGGGCCGGGGGGCGAGGAACGCCCGCGTCCTTCGGGGTAAGGAGAGGAGAGGGACCCCGGGGAGGGAAGGGCCGCAGGAAATCCCTTTTCCTTCACATCCCGCCCGACGTGGCGGCAGGTCAGGGCTGTGGAATCCTGCCCACACCTCTCTGCAGGACCTTAGAGTCTGGGGGAGAAGAGATGCTCTGTGGAGGTCACTCAGTCCATCCCCCTGCCTTCGGCTTACATGACACCGCTGGGGTCTTGCTGCGAGGGAGCCCCGAGGAAGCCTTGTAGACTCCCGCGCTCCAGGTGTCTCACACTCACCGCAGTGCAGAGGGAAGAGCCCTGGGCTCCTGGAGGCTTGGGTTCTAGCCCCGGATATTTAGCAGTTTGACCTTGGGCGAAGCAGCCGGTCTCCAGGGCGTCCGTTTCTCCTGTAAAATGAGGGGATGCAGCAGGGTCCCCTGCAGCTCGCTTCCAGGGCTAACGTTCCGCAGTGTTGAAACCTTTCCCCGGATTTCCTCCTTGAGTCTCGCGTGAGCCCCACTGCGGTCTCTCCCATCCCGCCGTCTGAGATGAACGGCGAAGCCTGCTCTCCCGGCACCGGGGTGACGAGCCCGCAGTGACGTGGAAGTGGCTTCCAAAGGTGCCACCTCAGTGGCGATTTTCCCAGTTCCCCTTGGATGCGCCTAGCACTCGTTCCTGCGGACTGTGGTCACTCCCCTTCCTCAGATCTCAACCACTCCTCCCCTGCCGTACCCCACCCCCGCCCCTTGCTTGCTCCTCACCCGCTGACCCACCTTCCCGACCTCCGTCCGTCCACAGGGATTCTCGCAGGAGCCACAGCTAACAAGGCTGCCCAGAACAGGAGCAGAGCCCTGCAAAGCCAGAGCTCCCCGGAGTGCAAGGACGAGGCTGAGCTGGAGTACATCCCCAGAAAGAGGGGCAAGAACCCCATGAAAGCTGTGGGACTGGCCTGGTGAGTGACCTGCCCCTGCGCCCACCGCGGGGGAGTGCTGTCCAGGGGCGGGCAGCACCCAGAAGCCTGTTCGAGTTTCAGCTGATGAGCTGAATCCCAAGTTGTGGAAACAGACTGCTGGGTTCCAGCGCTGGGACCTGGGAGGAGTGGGGCAGGGCACGTGGCAAAGGATGTGGACCGGGGTGGGGGGTGGGGGGCAGTGGACTCTGTGGAGTCGGCTGAGCTGCCCCGATGCAGATTTGGGTCCCCGGCCGATTCTCCCTTTGCAGACTCGGGTGCGGCCCAAGTTCCGATAAGGAGTTACCTGAGCTTCACGGAGGCTCTGTTCACTGTGCGGTAGCTGAGAGGTGTTCTGTGCATTGCTGGATGGCTCTGACCCTGACCTTAACGCCTGTCATCGACGAGCATTAAAGAGGAAGGGGCTGTTCTCTCCCAGCACCTGAGGTGTGCCGGGACTTTAGCACGTAAGGCTTAGGCCTTCCGCAGTGTCACGGGCCCGTTTCACAGAGGGGGCAACTGAGGCTCAGAGCTGGGCTTCTCAGCAGGTCTCGTGACTCGGTGCTCTTTGCTCCACACCCAGTGCCTCTCGGATGGAGGGGGCAGTCAGGGAGAGGATGTGGAAGACGTGGAGAGGGAAGCAGGCTGGGCTGGCCAGAGAACCACGCACGGGCACTGTGGCAGGCGTGAGGGCTGGGGCTCTGGGGGAAACAGGCAGCAGGTGGGCAGAGACCCAGGCACTGGCCCAGGACAGTGAACTTGGCCAGGAAGCGGCGCAGAGCTGTGGTGGGGTTTGCCGCAGGGCAGTGCAGGGTCTGACTCGCGTGGGTCCCTCTGGCTCCCCACGCAGAGGACAGCAGACACAAGAGGTATCGCAGCATTCGTGAACCCATGAAGCTGTAGCGATCCCCGCTCCGCTGCTCCGGCTCGGCCCCCGCCCCAACCCCGTGCACATCTCCCCACCCTAGGGCCATCGGCTTCCCCTGTGGTATCCTCCTCTTCATCCTCACCAAGCGGGAAGTGGACAAGGACCGTTTGAAGCAGATGAAGGCTCGGCAGAACATGCGGGCGTCCAACACGGGCGAGTATGAGAGCCAGAGGTTCAGGGCCTCCTCCCAGCACGCCCGGGCCCCCGAAGCTGGGTCCCCGGTGCAGACCTGAGGAGCCCCGCCCCTCTCCCCTAGACTGAATTGACTGCCAGGTCCTGCGTTGCCTCTGAGGTCCGCCAGAGGGCGCCTGAAGCCCAGGCTGCTGCCAGCCCCACCTGGGAGGCAGCCAAAGGCAAATAAAGTGAGTGGAAAGGAACCAGGCCTGGGTTTGTGACTCTCTCGGGAGGGGAGGGGCCGAGGGTGGGGCTGGTTACTCCGCTCCCTCACCCAAGAGCTCAGTGTGCCCGGCTGGCAGCGAGGCAGCCCTGGGATTAAGTGCAACAAGCCAGGGCTCCCACCCTGGGGACCAAGCCCTCAAGCTGCCGGCCAGGAGGGTGGGGTTCCACGCAGCCTTGAGACAAACAGTCAGGAGACTCAAGAAGGCATTCAGGGCGTGGAGACAAGCAAGCACCTTGGCTGAGTCAGGACAGCTCTCTGGGCCTCAGTTTCCTCTGAGCGAGGTGGGCTGGTGATTTCTAAGACAGGGCTTCTGAACCTAAGCACGGTCCATCCCGCCCCCGTCAGCACACCACACGTGCCCGCACAGCTTTGTGGGGAGGAGAGCAGCTGAGAGGGCCCGTGACGCGGAGGGAGCCGAGCCTTACGGCCCTGAGGTTCCCTCCAGGCTGCGGGTTTGCACTCCACCTTAACAGCCCACCACAGCCGTCCCCCGGAAGGGCTGTGGTAAAGCGAATTTGGTTGTGGGAGAGACCCAGGCAGAACACAGAGGTCGGAAGCAGGTGCCTCGGGCAGAGCCAGACCCTCCACTCCCAGAGCCAGCGTCTTCAGGTGAAGGAAGCCAGGGCCACCCCGGGTGTAACTTCTGAACATAAAACTTTATTACGTCTCTAGTTGTGTCCCTCTGTGTGATAGTCGTAGGGTCAAGTACTTAATGGAGAAGTCCTAATTATCCTTGGGCCCCCCTTTCCCACTGGAGGCACTGGCGTTAGAGAAAGCAGCGGCTGGCTGGAGGCGTGGGCGTGGGGGAGTCCCCCAGCAGGAGTTAGACAGAGAGGACGTCGCCCTCCTCGTAGGGCCCTTCCTGGGTTAGCAGAGGGAAGAGCACCGAGCCTCAGGACCTCAGACAGGGCACAGCACCCCACGGCAGCTTCGTGGCCCCCGCCCCAGTCTCAGTTCAGCCTGGTTCTGACCTGGTCACGTCATGACCTTCCGGAGCACCCCAGCTGCTGCTCCCGGTGGCCTGAGCGGAGATCGCGGAAGCACCGGGGGTCGGAAGCCTCGGAGAATGGAGAGCCGCTGGCTGCAGACGCCTGCTCTCCTCACCCTGGGCACACGCCAGGAGGAGTCTGGGGTCGCCGCTGCTCTGCTCTGGCCTCTGTACTTACTTTGCTCGCTGTCTGCTTCCTCCCCACCACTAACCCAAACAAGCTGTGCCTGTCACTCAGGCGGCTCCTTAGGCACCATCTCATCAAGCTTCCTAAGCTAAGAAGTGCCAAGGCAGTGGAGTACAGACTAACGGCCTACTCGCTCAGGGTACTGCAGCCAAAGCTCTGGCTCCCTGGCCTAGAAGCCTGCAGCAGAGGGGGAAGGGACCACTTCCACCTTCTCGCCTGCCCTCCAACCCTCGTTGTTAGGAAGAGTACAGTGCCCTGTGCCGGGGGAGGGAGGAAACACCGTGCCCACCCAGGACAAGAGTCAGTCCCTAGCTCCTCCAGCCCCACCAGGCACCTACACAGCCACAGCCGGGACAGGACGGAAACAGGGGCAGGAGAGGGGCCAGGGGCCGGAGCCCAGGCTCAGGTGGGGGCAGGTGGGCTCCGTCAGTTGCGGTCCCCCATCAGCTGCAGCACGAAGGTGAAGATGTAGATGATGTCCGTGTAGATCTGCAGGGCGCCTGTGATGTAGTCTTCGGGGCTGATGGTGTGCTTCCTGTTGCCCAGGACCAGCTGCGTGTCGTAAGCCAGGAACTGCGGCGACAGGGAGGCCCTGTGAGAACCTGGCAGCCTAGGCATGCAGGGTGCTCAGGGGACACATTCACCAGCAGCCAGGGGCTCGCCGCCCAGACAAGGAGACGCACACGTCATCTGTAACCTGGCCTGCAGAGCGTTCTAGGAGCCCGCAGTGTGAGCACAAGCTAGCAGGCAGCCCCGGAAAGTCAGGGGGGCCTTGTGATGCTGGGGGGGTGGGGGGAGAGACCAGCCATGGGCTCCCCCTGCCTCCCACGCAGCTGAAATTCTTGCTCCACTCTCAGTTCCTCCTCTCCACCCCCTGCCTCTGCCTCCTGCGGGGGAGGAGGGGCAGGGACATACTCACCAGGGTGAAACAAATGGCCCCCAAAGCAGCGTAGACCATGTGCAGCCAGTAAATCTAGGCGGAGGGGACAGGCAGCATTAGGAAGCTTGGTAACACGTGAGGGGGCGGGCCCTCAGGGTCAGCCCCCCACCCGCGGGCAGGCCTCAGCGTAGGAGGAGCCAGGAAGCTGGTTCTCCCTGAAAGGAGCCGCTTTTCTAGGTCCTGGGAGCAAGGAAGAACGGTGATAAGATTGGCAGAGAAAGCAGACGCCATCCCACAGTGGCCATCTAGAACCACAGTTCAAGGTACATGAGTGTCCACGATACCCCTGGGCCAAAGAAGGCAGCCGGGCAATCATTCTGGAGAGGCAGACCCGGCATGCGCTGGGTAAGAGCTCCTCCTCCCCCAGCACCGTGGCCTTCCTGTCTGTGGCCAGCCTCAGCAGAGCGGTCCTCCTTTCACCTGCAGTTCCTCTCCCAGTCTGCCCCAAGAGGCTGGTCTCAGCTTCAGATCTGCTCCACTACTTCCTGTAGGAACTGCGTGGTCTCTCAGAGGCTCCGGGTGCTGTGTCCCCAAGGAGGGGTTCTATATACCCTAACCCAAAAGGATGGGCTCTCCCCATCAGTGCTGTCAGCCAGTCAGAAGGTTCCAGAAGGCAGAGCCTGCACCCTGCCGCACAGAGAGTCTGCGAGCACAGGGTTTGTGACCACTGCTCCCCCGGGACACTCACGTATTTGAAGTACAGCACGATGCCGGTGACAATGCCAGTCACCATGAGCACGATGCCCAGGACACAGAAGAGGCCTGTGCATGACGTGAAGTCCACCTGCCAGGAAGGGAGAAGGAACACCTCTCAGATGACCATCACGGCTCGCAGCCCAGCCAGGCAGGCCCCACCCTGCCAGGGGACCCTAGTGTCGCCTCCTAGGGGACACAGGAAGCCGTTATGCAGGTGCCGACAGGTCTCTGAAGGAAATCCCTGCTGTGGAGGGGCCTACTCCAGTGCGAAGCCCAGGGGGCCAGGTGTGCATGAGCAGGAGGGTGCAGTGGCCCTGCAGGGCCTCCGTGGCCTCACCTTGGTCTGAAAGCAGAAGATGGTGACCGAAATGGACACCACGGCAGTGATGATCATGGCGAGGATGACAGCCTTGGTCTGATACATACTTGGGGGGAAGGAGTGACAAGAGTATGAATAACTTCACAGTCCTTCTCCAAGGATCCTGGCCAGACCCGACCCGTGCAGGTGACTGGCAGCCAGGACCCGCCCACTGCCCCGTGACACAGCCTTCCCAGGAGCATCATGGGTTGTCCCTGACGTACCTGGAAATGGTGCCCGTCATGAAGCCCATAGCAAACGTCTAAGAGAAAGAGAGACAAGAGGGAGATGCTCAGGCAGAATGCAAGTGCCCTGGCGCCCGGGGCAGGGGAGGTGTGACAGCAGCCGCAGGTGACACTAAGAGTGGCCAGTCGGGGTGAGGTGGGGGACACGGGCGGGACGTCCTTCCCCAGCAAGGGCCCCACAGACTCACAAAGAGGGTCAGCAGGATGATGTTCCATGGGAAGCGGCGTCTGAGGGAAGGACAAACGCTGTGGGTGTCTGGG